AATACAAACTCTTGCAGTTAGAAGTCCTTATAATCTAGCTTCAATCTAACTTTCAAACATTGATTATTCATTATTTATCTTCACACACTTTGTTCCAGCCAGACTGGCTTACTTAATATTTCTTCCACGTGATATTCCATCTTTTGCTTTTCCTGCTAGCCTCCACCTCTTAGAATCCCCAATTCCTTTCAGGAGTCAGTTCAAATATCACCTGGTACAAGAGGCCTTTCCTGATTTCCCAGTTAGTTCTCTTCCAAATTACTTTGAATTTGCTTGCCCTCCCCCCAATCCTACCCCAATTACACTGTATTTGTTTTGAATATGTTCTTCACCCAGCAGAAGTTAGACTTCTAGAGGGCAGGGAGGATTGAGGGTTGATTTTGCAGGGGGCAGAGGTGTCTTTGCATCCATAGTGCCCAAGACAGTGTCTGGTACATAATGATGCCTAATAAACCCTTGAACTTAATTTCAACGATCCAACTTTGCTTCCTGACACAACCACCTACTTTTTAAATATCAGTTAGGCACCAATGATATGATAAAGCTGTGGACCACAGAATATCACAGTCTCTCATTTAAAATTCTTGGTGACCCAAAGCACAAGGGAGGGTCACGAAATGGGTATAAGTAGGCTGCAATATACTATCAATGACTTGCGTAAAATAATTGATATAAAAGACATCATCTCAAAAATGAACTAGACAAAGATTTGGTATAAACCAAGTGAAAGACATCAAATGGACAGCTACAATTCCACATTACAGAATGTTTAAAAGATCTAAAGAAAGGTCTCCAGGGTACTTGTTGGGAGGATGAAATGGAAAAACACTATGTGTCCATTACTGTGCTAAAGAAGGCATGGATGAGTATTGTGCAAGATGAGAAGGTATGGACAGGCCATGATTGGCAGTACTGGAGGGAAGACCCATGTAATAATAATAATAATAGCTGACATTTATAAAGCACTGTCAGGCACTGTGCTAAGTGCTTCATAATTACTACCTCATTTGATCTTCACAGCACTGTGACATAGGTGCTATTATAACCCTCATTTTATAGATCAGCTAACTGAAGCATATGGAGGTTAGGTGATTTGCTCAGGGTCACATAGCTAGGAAGTTTCTGAGGCTGGATATGAACTCAGATCTTCCTGACTCCAGGCCTGGTGCTCTATCCAGCACTGAGCTACCTAGCTACTGGAACAGAATTAAAAACAGGAAAAAGTAAAATGAAAAGATCATTGGAATATGGTTGTTTTGCTCAACTCTTTGTTACAAGAAAGAGTTCTATATCAACTGGGAAATGACTGATCTTTTTAAGAGCACTGAATTTGGAAGTCAAAGGACCAGGGTTCAAATCCCAACTCTGCTACTTACAACCTATGTGACCTTGGGCAAGTTGCTTCAACTCTCTCGGCTTCAATTTCCTCATCTATAAAATGAATGAGTTGGAATTAATTATCTCTAAGGTCTCATCTAGCTCTAATTTCTGTGAACCTTTTGAAACCAAACAATTTAAAGCGAACAACCAGAACTGTGGTCTTCAATCAGTCCCTATTAACCTACTGTGCTAGGTGGTGCTGGGAATACAAAGACAAAAAAAGTAAGAATTAAAGACAAACTAGTCTGGATCATGTGGCTGGGGTGAAGGATGATGGGCAGTCTGAGTGCTTCATTGATATCCCATGATGTCAGGAGAAATCAAGTGAGTCCTCCAGCACTATGGCTAGATTTCCTGTGGCAAACTTTTGGACTGTGGACAGTCCACAGGATAGACAAGCAAGGTTGCAATATATAGGTTGCTACCTGCATCACCAGAGGAAACGTGTAGAGTTCAGATTCACTGGAGTAAAGGATGAATTGGCAACATGACAGAGTTGCTTCAGTAAGAACCAGATTAACTATTTAAAGATGGATTTTTAAAAACGGTTTTTTATTGATACTTTTTGACTTAACAATCATTTTCCAATATATTCCTTCCCATTCCACTTTTTTTTTTAAAGCTTAAGCAAAACCATCTAATAATAGTAGTTACATTTGACAGGACATGCAACATTCTACATTTATAATTTACTATTTCTTCACAGAAACTATTTTAACATGTTATCTGGAACCAATACTAGCCATTGTATTTAAGTATCTTTTAATTTTGTTTTCATTTATATTTCTATAAATTGTGTCTCATCACCCTGGTTCTGCTTTTTTCGCCCTCTGTTTTTGTCTTCACATTTCTCTAAATTCTTTGTGTTCATCAGCTTCCATCGCATTTGTATACTACCATTTGTTCAGCCTTTTCCCAATCCAAGTGCAGGTACTTTTCCAGTTCTTAATTACCACAAACTGCTGAATCCTTTGAGAGATACAGGACCTTTCTCCTTGTGACCTTGTGAGGTGCAAGCTTCATAGTGGGAGTTCTGGACAAAGGGGTGTGAACTGTTAACTTTTCCATCTTAATTCCAAATAATTTTTTCCACTGTTTGGCAAGTTTTAAAACAGTTGGTACAGCTCCCCCCAACGGCTCATTATTTCCACAAGCCTTCAAATGTCATTTCCAATTTGATGGGTAAGGTATCTCAGTCGTCTTATTGCATTTCTCTCATTATTACTGGTTAGGAACATGTTTTCACATGTGGTTGATAGAATTTCAAACCTGGAAAACTGATCATATCTTTTGAACAAGATTAATTCTTTATTTCACAAGTCTTTTAATACCGGGACAAACAAAGCTGATCACCCTCAACTACTTTGTAAATCAGAGAGTAAGTGCTTTAATTTTAAGCCTTTCCTAGCCCAAGCAAAATAAAAGTAAGTTGTGATTGAAATGCCAGAGAGCAACTAGGTACTATTAATCAACAAAGTAATGAAGTGGATTAGAAATGCTGTTCATACACTGTAAGCTAGGCATTGGCACACAATACCAAAGACCCAGTGTTCACTATGCTCTAAAATTCTCTGCAATGTTTGAACAGCAGGTTTTTTTGCAGAACTGGCAAAAGATCACATTTCTGGTTTTATAGTTAATTTATAGTTGTCACCTCCTGTTAAATAGGACTTGGTTACACCACCTTAGAAAATGAGGTAAATGCCAGCTGCAGCAGCGACATCGCCAAGCACTGGGCCATACTGTTAACTCCTCTCCCTTAAGTGATGTCAGGCTAATTCAAGAGAGTTAAACAGGGCATTTCAATGAGCTATACAGTGCTTACTCACTATCAATAAGATAAAGGTCTTTTTTTCCATTCCACTTGAAAACTGCAGTGTTCCATAGTCTCCTTCTCTACAATCTCTCCTGTGGGCATGCCTTAAGAATTGAATTCTGTAACATTCTTCTGGTATATTTGAGATTTCCCCTGTATTCCCTTAACACTTGTAGAAAGTGCTAGTTTTCTAAACTTATCATGCTATTAGGCATTTTATTGATATACTATCATTTGTGTTTTATCTGTTTGCTATCTGCCTTATTACATTGGGAAACTCCTTAAAGGCAGGGACATCATCTTCTTGGATTACTGCCTCCATTGTGCCCAGTTACTGTATACATTTTACAGTGGGTACTGAACACATTTGCTAAAAGGAAAGCCAGCCAATATTTTTTAGTACAAAATGTTCACTGGATCAGTACATTTGTACTCTGTATTGAAAGGTTATTAGAAGTCTTTTCTTGGGGCATTAATATACTGTAAGACAGGCATTTCAAATGTTTGTGTATTTTACGTGGAAGGGAGGTCTTGAACAATATGCTTTTGCATGTCACAGACACCTTTGGCAGTCTGGTGAAGCCTATGAACTCCTTCCCATAATGTTTTCAAATGCATAAAATAAAATACATAGGATTACAAAGGAAAAGATTTATACTGAAAGTTATCAATTGTTTAAGTTTACAGACTCCCAAGTTAAGAATCCCTGACTTAAAAAGATCTAATTAAAAAAACTGGCTTTCTCATCAAGGCATAGTGACAAAAAAAAATATTAATCATTCTGTGGCCAGCCTTTAAGAGTTACCATCCTATTTCTTGGAGGAGACATCCAGCCAACCAGCTCTGGCCCTTTCCCCTGGCACAACTGAGAACCCAAGGTTCTCAATGTAGTATTAGAGGATCAGAGTGCTATTGAATAGTATAATTAGGCTACATGTCCATAGTTTTCCCTCACAATCTGGTGAAATACACTCTAATGTTCACCCTTATAGTCCTCGCTATTCTTTCTTGGTAAGGTAAAGGCCACCACCCTTACAATCATTTCAGCAGCCATGTTATTTAAACATTTGTTGAATGAGGTAATACAGAAGATGTAAACTATGTTGACATTGCCAATTCAATTCATTCCTCTACATCTTGGCAACCTGGAAGTAGCATATGGGAAGCCAAAATTGTTTCTTCCAGGTATACACAAACAACTGAGACGTACAGACCCCATCCTCACTCTACTGTGGAAAACAAGTTTATTTATTAATATATTTTGTTGTCATTCAGTCATGTCCAACTCTTTATGACCTTATTTGGGGTTTTCTTGGCAAAGATACTGGATTGGTTTGCCTTCTCCAGTTCATTTTACAGATGAGGAAACTGAGGCAGTCAAGTGACTTGCCCAGGGTCACACAGCTAGTTTCTGAGGCCACATTTGAAATCAGGAAGGTGTCTTCCTGACTCTAATACCAGAACTCTATCCATTGTGCCACCTAGCTGACTAACATGATATATAGGTGTGTAAAATTTGCTCCTACCAATGATATTTTGTTTCCAATTATTCACTGACTGTCATCTATGCCAAAGACTCCTTTTTAAAAAAATTACATTTTCAGCACAGAATCCCCATGTGAAGTCCATTAATAAGCCCTGTCATACATTTTATTTAAAGTCCTGGGATTTATAAACTAATATTATCAATACCTATCATTGTAAAATAGTAGAGATCAAAAAGTTGTCCATTAGCTATATTTCTAATTATCTAAACTGTAGAAACTAAGCATTAATTCCACAAAATAAAAAATTAAGCCCCAAATATTGAAAACAGAATTTTGATAATTTTAATTCTGAGATCAGAAGTGCTTTCTGGGAAATTAATAAGGACCTTAGTGTGTTACATTTCATTCAAATAAACAATACATTTCACAAACCAGGTTTCTGATTTACATTTTGAGCACAGCCAGCGTGCAATTTATTTTAAGACATAATTTAATATTTTTCCTAAAGCAATAATACAAATATTAAATTCTAAAAACACTGACAATCATTCAACTGTCAAACATATATTCATCAAAATGAGGTAAATATTCTATGTCATCTGCTGAAGAACTTAATACCGAAGTGGAAAAAAATTCATCAAGAATGTCTGTCTTTAGGGGATTTTCCAAGTTTAACGTTTTAGCACAAGAATTATTTGTTAATGAGTCCATCTGAACTTCATACTGACTTTGTTTCACAGGACTATAATAATTATGGTCTTTGCTAGGATATGCAGAAGAGAATCCATTGACAAAGTCACTAGGTGTTGGTGTCATGTTATGGTTATCTACCATCTCCAAATACTCACAATCATTTTCTCTATTCATTGGTAGTTCTGATGAGGCGACAGTTGTAGTAGACGACAATAATTCTGCTAAAAATTCTTCGTGGGTTGGGCTATTACACAGGGAAATATTGGAATGTGTGGTACCTTTAGGTTTATTGTCTGTGGCACTGATATGATCCTGGAGTTCCATTAACAGGCCTTGCAGTGATTCACATTCATTTGGAGATGCATCCTGGGGCAAGGGTTTTGTACTTTTCTTTGGAGGCTTTCCATTTATTTGGAGAGCCTGAAGAGTGGCCAGTTTTTGCTTTTTTGCCTTAAGTTTTTTAAGAAGTTTTAGACGAAGTTTATGAGTCTGACTCTCATACGTCCCTGAAGAGATGTGATTTTCATTTCCATTAAAATTGTGCTTAGGAGGTATCCCACTAGAGAGGGGCTGAACATTTTTATGCAAAGATTTAGTCAAAATCTTTGTACCCTCCCGAACTTCGTCAGGTATTAAGGATGTGCTGATATTTGATGGTGAAGAGTTAAGAACTGGAAGTGAGTTGCATGCAGACCTGGATGTTTTCTTGGGTGCTTGAGGACTTGTTTGATTTGTTATACCTTTAGGTTTAAAGCCCCGAAAATTATTTGCCCTTTTAACCAGAGAGTTCAAGTCAGTTGTCTTTTGCAAATGGACCTTTCTTTCATTAGCTGAGGCACAAGATGGCATAAAAGAAACTCCCTTGTTCAGTAATCCTTTTACCCAACTTCCTACAAACTTTTTTTTCTGTGACTGGGACTGTGAAGAATTATGTGTTGAACCCAGGACCACACTTTGGGAATCTCCTATATTATTTGCTGTTTTCAAATTAGATCCTAGAGATAAGACACTTTGTTTTGACATAAGTTTTTCAACCTTTGATGAAAGGACTGGATTTGACATAGCACCCTTCTCCAAGGCAATGGGAGGAAAATTAACTTTTGTCTCTTGAATTTGTAATGGCTTCTCTCCTTGCGGAAGAGTAGACACATGTACTGTGTTATTCACGCATATAGTATCTGAAGTATTTTCTGTATTCAGCTGATCCAATTTCAAATCAATACTAGCATTCTGAGTTAGGATACTAGTAGGCAGTGTTTGAGGTTGGACAGGTGTTTCCCTACATGGAGCTGATTGTGAAGAAGCTAACACTAATTCTTGCTTTTGCAAAGTGTCCATTTCAGCAACTGCCTTATCTCTTATCGCAGACTGATCTTCTATCACTGGCTGATTTTCAATTGGATTGCCCTCAGAATCAACATGAATTTCTGTGAGTGTTAAAGTTATAATATCATTATCTACCAAATCTTCTAGACCAGAAAGTAAACTGTACTCATGATCTGTGGCTACTACATATTGTGCATCAGTAGTTGGAGCACTTAGAATATTCTCCTGATTAAACGCTGAAAACATTTCAGTGGCAGCATCCCCCTCAGAACACAATGCCAGAGATTCTGGTTTAGAATCACTGAGGCTGAAACTTTCTGTCTTTTTAACTGGAAATTCTATATTGGATTGATCTATTATTTTGGAAATGTTCCTTTCCCAGATAACAATGTGAATCTCTGAAGCTGGAACTTCAAATCTCTGATGTCTTTTACAGTATGGTCCTTTTAAATCATCACATTCTAGCCAAGTTCCTGAAAAAATAAAGTGAACAATTTAAACACTCAAAGGTTACTCAGTCTGTGTATGTGTAAACTACTTCCCTAAGCTCAAAGAAACTACTTCTTTGCCCTTCTGCTTCTATATTTGACTACTACATAATCCTTCACAACACTGAGCCTATCTTTATGACAGCACCTGTCTCAGACAAATGCTGAAGGTCCTATACTTTAATAACAAAGGCAGTGTTCTTATATATCAATTCTGAAGAACCGGAGCGTTATGTGAGCAGTTCAGTTGTGTCTTCTTCCTCCCCACCATCTTACCCCCTCAATATTGTACGGGTCCTATTAAGAATTATTAGGAATTGAATGAGTATTGCAAATAATATCTATAAATTGCCATCCCAAAAATCAGGTCTCAAAAACAATTCTGTTAGAAAGAATTCTGGTTAACCAAGTTAAAAGAATGAACATACAGATATAAATGGCTAAGTTTTGGGGGCAGCTAAGTGGTGCAGTGGATAGAGCACCGGCCCTGGATTCAGGAGGACCTGAGTTCAAATCCGGCCTCAGACACATAACACTTACTAGCTGTGTGACCCTGCGCAAGTCACTTAATCCCACTTAGCAAAAAAACAAAACATAAATAGCCAAGTTTTTAAATCCTGTTAGAATATAACAAAGAGCCCTGTTTGTTTCAAGACATTTTCACTATAATAAAATTCTAGTAGAATTCAACAGTTTCTTTCAGGTAACTAACTGTAAGCTACCTAAGGTCTCTATAGTCTATGTCTAAAGTCACTGATACGCAGAGGCAGAAAGTGCCTCAAATCAAATTCATTCTTTTAACCTCTTTGATTACTGAATTCTTTTTTGATTCTTCATCTTCTCCCCTTTGGCAGATAAAAAAGAAAACACCATGTTCCTGACAAACAAAAAAACATTTTTGCATAGAAAGAAACAAGACTAGAGCAATGACTTATTTATTAGCCAAGGTCAAGGACAGGCACTGAAAAACAAATATGATCCTTTATGCTCCCTATGAGCTATTTCAATAAGTAGACTGCAATCCACATCACAGAGTGAACATTGGAACAATATAAAGAAATCATTGTCTTTCTTTTTCCCTTTCTATCTCTTTTTCAATCTTTCACATCTACAACTTGCTGAAAAGAGTGGGAAGCTGAGACAATGAAGAAACAGTAAACAGGTGGATGATGATGGTGGTGGGACTCACCAGGGAACATAAATTTAAGATGCCAGAAGGTAGGTCTTATTTTTAATTTTTGTCTTTGGACCCCCCATATTGCTTCATACATAGGAATCACTTAATAAACATTTACTGAAAGCATGAAAAGACACCTTCCCCAATCCTTTGCAGAGGTGAGAGGTCTCGAAGTGTGGAACACTGCATATATTTTCCATACTTTTTTTGATGTATTGATCAAAACCAATTAATTTTTTTCTCTTCCTTTTTTTACTTTTTTTTCCCTTTCAAAATGCTCTTTCTTATATGGGACAGTTCTCTGAAATGGGGAGGAGAGATTCTGAGAGAAATTTAGGCAATGTAAAAATAAAAGAGATCAGTAACATTTTCAAGAAACTAAATGCTTGTTGAAGACTCTCCTCTACAAATTGCTTATTAAGAATGGAGTATAGCCACTGGCAAATGTAACTATCTGAATTACACTTCTGGGAGTCAGGCTTAGTATTTTCATGAGCTTAGTCTAAATAAAGCAGAAACCTTTTGCTTAATAATTATATCTGAGAAGAGATGAACCACAACAAAAATTTGTTAAAGAGGTTAACAGAATTTTTCTTTAGCTATAACATTTCAATATTTAAGACCTTTGGTAGAACAAACAAATTTTCCTATCTGGTTGTTCCTTTAAATGTGGAACAGATGTATGTATGTTTATGCATGTATTATATGTGTAAACAAACACACACAACTAAATTATTAAAGCCTTTTCCTACTTAAAGGTAAGGATAAAAAAAGACTGCAAACTTGATAATTTGAATTCTTAACTACATACACAAATCAGCCAGCATTACCAAAAGAATACTTATTATTGTCTATTTTGACAAATACTTTAAAACTTCACTTTTAACAGCATGAATTACAAAAATCAAATTGAAATACTTACCATCAGAATTCAAAATCCAACTTATAAAATGTTTTTCATTCATTTGATATTGAATCACACATGTTATTTGGTAGAAAAAGCCTTCAAAATGAAATGAATAGAACTGCAAGTCATTACAGGGCAAGCCTTCTACAAAGTGCAGCATAAATACTGAAGATACTCTAGAGGGAAACAGAAAAGAGAAGTCAAACAAATAATACCATATGTCTTGTTATACAAAAGGCAGTCTGAAGCTAACAAGTCACATTTTCAGGGCTGACTGCTAACATACTGAAGCAGTAATTTTTTTTTCTGAGACCCTCCAGATGTGTTTCTTAATTAGAACTGAAGAACTCTTCTAAAAGTATGTAACACAAAACCTTCCTCAGAAGGGTTATCACTCACAGTTGGAAGCTATCATGCAATAAGGTTCTATCACAGTCCATTAAGCAAAAATTGCTTTGCAAAATATACCCATTATGTCTTAATAAGGAAATCTCTAAGTAGCCACAGCCACCTTATACAACCAAACTCAGACCCTCAAAAACCATTCTCTGAGATTTCCCCAACTTAGTTGTTCTAACTGGTAGTTTAAGAAAACAGGAGTCATCATTTTAAAATATAAGGAATTCAGATGAAAATGGGAAGAATGTTATAAACTGAGGCAGACTGAAGTAAACAGAATTAGGAGAACAATATCAACAATGACAAAAGAAAAAGAATACTAAAAGGAAGTCAAACCCCAAGCCCCTATCATTACTAATCTTTGTCTTGGTGAACAGATTATGAAACATATATCCCTTGTCCTCATAAAGTAGTGGGGATAATACAGAAGACTGTCATGCAATGGATCACTGTGCTACCTGGTTCTGTTTAACAAAACAGTTTTTGTTAAGTGCTTGGAGGTGAGGGAGAAAGGACATTTGCAGAGTTTGGAAATGAAGTGTGATACAAAAAGAAATCAATAAAATCTCTTAAAAACATGCCAATTTGTTGTAATCTTACGCTGCAATAAGGGAAGAATACTATCCAGGTCAAGGGCAGCTAGGTGCCACAGTGGATAGAGTGCCAGGCCAGGAGTCAGGAAGACTCCTCTTCCTGAGTTCAAATCTGCTTCAGACACTTAATAGCTGTGTGATCCTGGACAAGCCACTTAACCCTGTCTGCCTCAGTTTCCTCATCTGTAAAATGAACTGGAAAGGGAAATGGCCAACCATCCCAGTATCTCTGCCAATAAAACTCCAAATGGGATCACAAAGAACCAGACACTACTGAAAATGACTAAACAACAAGGGACTTCTTAGTCTCATTCAGAATACTGTATTCAGGTCTAGGAACAACATTTTAGCAAGGCTATTGATGAGCTACCTAGAAGAGGCCAATCAGGATAACAAAGGTGAGGACATTTAGATGTCTGAAGAAATGTCACTTGGAAGAGGGATATAAAGAAATAAATCTAGGGGCAACTACGTGGTGCAGTGGATAAAGCTCTGGCCTCAGAGTCAAGAGGACCCGAGTTCAAATCTGGCCTCAGACACTTAACACTTAGTAGCTGTGTGACCCTGGGCAAGTCACTTAACCCCGACTGCATTATCAAAAAAAAAAAGTAGTAAATCTAGATTTGCTACACGATAACTACAATTATAACATAATTTCAGCAATATTAACTGGTTCCCAAGGTAGCATGAGTGCAAATTAGTGTGGCTGTGTTGTGACGGTTTTTTAATTGTACAAGAGCAAGGCATGGAATACAAGTGGCAGTCAGCAGCACATGAGGTGATGTGAAGAAGATGGATGAAGTAATCCAGGAATGGGTTTTGGAAAGGAATGAAGGACAACAGAACAAGGGATACACAATGGAAGGAAGATAATGTGACGCTGAACTTGTTAACAAGAATGTCATTACTGAAAGGAGGAAAGTGAGGCCAGATGGGAGGGATAGATTGTGAAAGACTTTGGATAGCTCCTAACAATCAGAGCTAACCCAAAGTGGAATGGGCTGTCTAGAGAGGTACTGGAAGCTTGATGACCACTTGTTGAGTATGGTATAGAAGGGATTTTTGTTTAGGTACTCATCAGACTAAATGGCCTATGATCCCTTCCAAACCTGAAATTCTGTAAAATTACATTTGGAGGAAGAATTCAACTTGTGAAAACAAAAGAATGGAGGGAAAAAAAACTACTGAAATAATTTCTTGGGAACTAAAGTTCATAGCAATTCCAAAATTCTATCTCCAGTACTGCTAAAAAAAGAATAATTTGTCTCATCTATAGATTATTGTTAAATCAGCCTGTAGTTGGGCCTTGAATTAAGTATAAATGAAATTAATCCTTTTTCAGCCTTTAAGAAAACTGTCAAGTGTAAGTGTCCCTTCTACTGATTTTTCAAAAGCTGCCAAAACTCAGTTTCTCAAGATGTTCCGGTGAAATGAACTTCACAGAATTTCTTAACATTTCAGATTAATCACATAATTATTATGAATTACTCCTAATTACACATTTAGCCAAAAAGCAATCAAATCTTCAAATTACAAATGCCTCTCAATATACAGAATACATTCCTAAAAATCTGCCTATATAGCAAAATTCTACATATTAGATCCAATTTCCCCCATTTTTTCCAATTATAAAATTATAGATGTATTTCTTTCTAAGCCTTTAGCCCCTAACTCTCCACTTCTCACTATGTTTCACTTTTGTTGTTGTGTCTCACTATATACCAAAAGAGTCCACACTGCTGATTACATGAAGCTACCTGCAGGCTGAATGATGAAACCTCTTTTAAATCCTTTGTTCTTCATTCATAAAAATAATAAGAACTGGTCTGCATCAGTTTAACATCTGAAAACATTCTTTTCTCAACTTGTTTTAGCCAATGAAGAAAGCAGATTCCATTAAATACAAAGAATAGTTTGTAGGAAAACCTCAGAAGTCATTTTAATTTTTTCCAGTTTTTAAACTTTAACAACTTGGGTTGGACATTGTATAGAAAAAAAGCTTAGGATGTAGGAGATGTGTCAATCAGTAAGCATTTATTAAATGCCTTCTATGTACCAGGCACTGGGCTGAGTGCTAGAAATATGAAGACAAATTTTAAACAGTCACTGCCCTAAAGGAGCTTATATTTTAATAAAGGGGACAACATGTACACATACATAAATACAAAATAGGTGGGCCAGGTAAGGCCTCATCTAGGAGGTGGGGTACTTAAGTTGAACTTTGAAAGAAACAAAAATTCCAAGAGGCACAAGTCAGGAAGTACATTCTAGCCTTTGCAAAGGCACATAGACAGGAGACAAACCGTCATGTTTTAAGGAAGAGAAATAAGGCAACTGGGCTGGACCACAGTGTGTGTGAAGCTAATGTATAACAAACTGGGAAAATTGGTTGGACAAATGTTAAACAAGAGAGTTTAGAAAGCAGTCAACCTTTCACACTATGAAAATCAGACACACTTTTTGTGGAACATGGACTGCAGAGGGTAGAAACTTGATGCTAAGTAACAAATTAGGAAGCTAACATAATATTCTAGGCAAAAGACAATAAGCAAATAGTTTCTATTCTAGGAAATGATTTTATTCTCCAGCTAAAGCAGAAGGCAGATTTTAACGATACCCATTTTCTAGATTTTAAATTTAAAATGACTGCTTTTGGTTCTTAGCCTCTTGGTGCTAAGTAGTAGTGCCTAAGGTGAGGTAAAGTAAAGTAAAGCAAAACTGAATTCTAGTGTTTCTAATGGAAGCTTGAGTGTCATACTACTTTTCTTTATAGGCAGAGGGTTTCTCCTCACATGGACTCCTTTTTGCCTTTTCTTTTCTTCAATCCCCTGGGTGCTATTCCCTACAATTCAACTCTTCTCACGGCTCAGGACATGCACAGCTGAAGTCCCTGAGGCTCAGTGATCACAGAATTCCAGAAATGGGCTACATGAGTCCCTCTAATCCAAACAGACCAACCACCCCCTTCTACAATAGTGCCTTTGTCTGAAGACCTGACACGCACAAGAATTTACTTCCACTCTAACTACTAGTTGTTTTTCTCCCCATAGGGAGCTAAAATCTGCCTCTCTGGGGTTGAATATAAGTCTGACACCTCTTTCACCTTCTACCCCGGTAGAGCTTGGGCTTCCCTCACCATTCCAGAAATGCTCCAATTTGTCAACATCCTTCCTCAAGTGTGTCATCCAGAACTGTTCAGGGCCTGGGTAGGAGCTGTGCTGGGCAGGGTCTAGGGCTGAGAGATGGGAGGGGAGACTAGCTCAACCCTAGAACACCTGTGGGAAGATGGTATTAATGGAATGGACATTGTTTGTCTTTAGAGAAAGGATGGGACTTCAAGGCCTAAATTCATCCAAGTCTACTATCCTAAGATGTTAGCCCAGTTTCTTAGGTAGCAATCCTAACTTGTTTCATAATTTTATGTGAATTCAACTGCTTCCCAAGATAATGTCACCAGACTCCTTCCCATAGCACAGTAGCCACCATGTGCTCTGCAAATGATTCAAAGTATATTAAAGGCACAATTGTTCAATGTTCCAGCCAATGTTCCAGAATTAAAAAATTAAAAAATTCACTATTGATTATGCAAGGTTTTTATAAACTCCTTTTAAAATTTTAAACTAATACCCAAGAATACAAGATCAGATGAAAATAAGCTATAATTGGCATTTAAAGATAAATTTAATACACTGCAAAACTAAGAACAATGTTGTACTGGTTCCAGATCTTTTCATAAAAAATGGCCACTACAGATGAGACAGTAACTTGTGTATTACACTTAGCATAAATGAAATCCTTATTACCTGCAAGTATACTTTCCACATTTTCAGAAAACAAGACTGAAAATCTATAAAAATACTAACCATTCGAAGTAGAAATTCACCTTTTAACTGAATATGTTTAAAAGAAACCTATTTGTAAGTGATAACCACTTATCCAGGAGATGGGCAAGACAACTCTGACTAGTATGTAGGGAACATTTCAACAGAGTACATGAAAATAACAGAATATTGTCCACAAACAACCAACGAGGGCTAAGTCATAAACAGATTTCCCTCAGAAAGCAAATTAGCAGAGGTAGGGCAATGACATGACCAAATTCTTGCTAATTTAATTTAATAATGATGTTCTTTTAAAAATGAAACATTTAGGGTGTCCATTCATTGATTTAATCCACATTTACTTATTATAAGCACAATGAGAGAACTATAGGCACTAGAAGCGATAGAAAGATAAATGAGGCATACATAGTCCATGCCCTCCCGATATTTAAAATTTAGCAGAGGAAGTGACATGGTCTCACAGATAACTATAATGCAAAGTAGAATGTTAGAGCACAAGAGAGGTACAAACAGGTATCACTTAAGTTGATACGCAAGAGCTCATTTCTAGCTGGGCAGCAGGAATAAGGGAAGGATTCATGAAGGAGATGGCATTTGAGTTGGATCTTGAAATCTGAACAGGATTTCCACAAGCAGATGAGGGATAAGAGAATGTTAAGCATATGATTTACACAAAGTCATGGAGGTTATTGTTATAGCCCAGGTGAGAGGTAATGAGGACCTGAACTCATTGAAATGGTGGCAACAGACATGAAGAGGAGTGAATAGATGGCCAAGGTGTTATAAAGATAAATTCAACAGTATTTGGTCACTAAAAGAGTGAAGAAGAGGTAGGAATTGAAGATAATGCAGTTACGAGTATAGGAAATTAAAAGGAGGAACAGATTTTGGAGGAAAGGATAATGAATTCAATTTCAGACATGCTGAATTGGAGAGGCCAGTAGGATATCCTGGCAGACACATGTTTAAACTCAGGATAAGAGTGGGCAATTAGAAACTGCAAGTTGAAAGAGAAAGATAAGGGTTGGAGACTAGTATTTAGTTACAGCTAAAGATATGGAAATAGAAGAGATGACTAAGGAAAAGGACATAAAGAGATGAGAGAAGGGACTTGAGAAATGCCTATATTAAGGAGCACAGGTAGAAGACAATAAGAGAAAGCTAGAAGAACAAAGATACTTGAGAAATATATGATAGGGGAGCATTACTTTGAAACTGTATCAAAATATATACACAGTTTTTAATCCTGCTAAAACCTACAATAATTTGGTCTTTAATTCACAATTAGATTTTTATCTATCATATTTACAAATCTGATTACTGAAGGTTAGAAAACAGCCTATGCACTTTATGAAGATCCACTTTATCAAAGATTCACTTTGATAGCAAAACACAAATGTAAAGTTTCCAATTTCAAAATTAAACCTACTGTATTAGGATTTTTATTGGACATATGCAGGATCACGCTGGCTCTAGTTCCCCTTAAAAGGAAAATTTGTCAAACAGGAGCTCAAACTAGGTTATCATTGGTGCTAATTTCTTCCTCTTGCTGCCAGCTGACACAAACTAGGGAAGTCACCTGATTATACCTAGGATTTGTGAAGATCTGCCACAGGTTTCCCAGCCCTGGCACTCTATCCCACTTCACCTGCTCTCTCCCCACCAAATGCCCTGAGAAGCTGCTTATGTGCAAAATACATAAGAGGTCCTGTCAGGTCCAGGCTCTTTCAATAATCCTTACAAACCATACTTTACCCTATAACAATATTGCAATTCTATCAATTAAAACAAAATTTTATAATAAATAATATCTTCATGTTTGTGGGTTGTTTAATCCTTCACATTTTAAAATACCTACATCTACACACATTTATACTAGAAATTTGAAGAAAACTGAACTTACTTTTCCAATACCATTCTTCTTCTTTGTAATTTACTTTTACAACTGTTACATGGACCAAAATGGACAGCATCAAGTGGATGCCACTCAGGTATTACGTTTGTGAAGGTTACCAGATTCTTTGAACACCTAGACAAAAGGAGATATATACATTGTTGTGCTCATTAGACCATTTGCTATTATTTTATTTGTGAGTTTAATTCATTTTTGAAAGTTCGAAACTATATCAAAATAAAAAAGAAAGTTCAAAACTACTTTAAAAAAACCAAAGGACTTTGGCTTTTCTTCAAAATTACTAAAATCTTCAGTCAATCATAAACATAGTAAGTATGTGTATGTTCACATTAGCTTTAAGTATAATAGTTTTTAATAATTTAAAAATTAAAATTAGTCAGGTGTGGCAACACATGCCTGTAATCCCTGCTACTGAGGGAAGTTGAGGCTAGAATATCTCTTAGGCTCTAGAGTTCTGAGCTGTAGGGGGTTAAATCAGTCAAGGCATCCAAACCAAATTCTGTACTGAAAGTGAGCCCCAAAGAGCAGGGAGCAGCCAGGCTGCCTAAGGAGGGGTAAATTAGCATCTCAGAAGTTGGAAAAGGTCAAAATTTTTGAAAGAAAAAATATGGCTAGCATTTGAGAAGAAAAGATTAGTTAAAATTATGTATTAGTAAAAATATATAAATTGTTCCATTTCCTTGGACACATTTTTATAATGAAAGAACATGTGTTATCTGAGAACTTCATTAAGCAAGGCTACATGGAAATTTTTTTTAAATTAAACCTAATCAAAATAATTTACTACATTAACAGGCTTCTGAAAAACACATTTTTTTAAACTGTATGTTGTTTGATATGTTACTGCAATGGAAACAGGGGAGGAACAAGCATTTCTTAAGCATCTACTTACTATGTGCCAGGCACTATGCTAAGCATTTTACAATTATTATCTCATTTGACCTTCAGACTGTCCTGGAAGGTAGGTGCTGTTAGGACTGACCCTCATTTTATAGTTGAGGAAAACTGAGGTAGACAATGATCAGGTGATTTGCCCAGGGCACACAGCTAATTAGTGAACTCTAGTCTTTCTGACTTCAGGCCCAGTGTTCTATCCACTGAGACACCTAGCTGCCTCAATAACACTTCAACAGGACACTGAAGTCCCTCTTCAAAACATATCCTCTTAAAAAAATATAAAAAAGAAAAATCCACCTTAGAAACTTGGGTTTAACTTATAACAATGATTAACAGTGATCAAGTATCATAAATATGCTAAATCTAAAATACTGAAAATAGAAAATTCTAGAGAAAGGTTAGATGTTTTATTGTTTTTAAAATGTGAGTTATAAAGATCACAATGGATTATCTTGAGCAAGAGAAATGTGCAAATATATGAATTATGGTTCTCTTACTCTCTAAATTCTGAAGGCAAATTGATAAAATACGGTTTTCTTTTTTTGCATTTCACATCTAAGTGTCAACTGAAAATCTCTTTGATGTCCTAGTGGTTCCTAAGTAAAGCTTAATTTAGAGAAGTAATGTTGAAAATAGAATATTCAGCAGAAACAGTAAGCAAATGAATCTGCCTGCTGTTTTTTCCTTACAACAGACATTAGCTATTTCAGCTTTCAGCTGTAACAAATATGCTTAGAAAAGTTTGATATCTGCTAATTTCACTTTTAGCTTTTTGACCCTTTGCTGTTTTTTCCTTTCTTATGTTAGTTTTGCTCCTAAAAAAAAGTGGAAGGAGGAGAGGGGAAAGAAGCAAATTAATTTGGCATCAAATCTAGATGGATACTATAGAAGACTTTAATAGGAAACGAGTCTCAGTGATTTCTTTTGTTATAGAAGTCTCTGAAGTTTTTAGTAATAAGGGGGTCAGTTTAAATAGTCATATAACAAGGATCGAAGACAACGCCAAAAGACTCACGATGGAAAATGTTATCCGTATCCAGAAAAAGAACTATCGAGTCTGAATGCAGATAAAGCATACTATTTGCTCTCTCTCTTTTTTGTTTCTTCTTTCTTGTGGTTTCTCCCATTGCTTCTAATTCTTCTTTACAACATAACTAATGTGAAAATGTTTAATATGAATGTATATGTGTAGTTTGTATCAGATTGAATGCTGTCTTGGGGGTGGGGTGGGGAAAGAGGGAGAGAAAATTTAGAACTCAAAATCTTATGAAAGTGAATGTTGAAAACTAAAACTGAATAAATAAATGAATTTTGAGTTTTTTTAAAAAATGATCATATAAATGCTATAGTATAAGATAACCATCACTGTGATTTTAAATCAAACTACCTTCAAACAGAAAACAGTCTCAAGGCAACAGACTGAATGCCAAGGTACTTAGATAATTTCATTTGCTTGTTTAAACAAAGTAATCTCAGTCCTCCATGTTAGTGCTATTTTTATTTTTCTTTGAACTGTTTAGCCACTTTGGGAGTTATGTGATATAAGGACTTAGTGTTGTCTGGCTTTGCCCTCAACTTCAGTTTGTAACTTCACAGCTACAGCCTCTTCTTGATTTTTTCATCAATAAAAAAAGGTAAACAAACTATTTTTTAGCTTTGTTTCTACCTAAAACAGCTGCCAGAAAAATCAGATAATGAAAAAGTCAAATCTAACTTCTCTCCTCAAAAATTTTTCCACTAATATACCCAAGATCAACATTTTCCATTTTATTAATGGACAAAAGGATCAAAGAAAAGTATGTTTTCACTTGTAATCTGAATGCATTAAAACTAGACCCTTAAGAGGCCATTCTATCTAAACCTTTTGTTTTACAGATAGGGTTTAAGTAATTTGCCCCAAGGTCACACAAGTCAGCATAAGAACTCAGACCTTGTGAATCCAAGTCTACTCTACCTTGTATCACGCAACATTGTCTGGATAGCAAAAAGAAGAGGATGGTTCCTAACTTTATACTTCCAAACCATTCATCAACTTCTCTCTCCTTCCAGAAAGGGAGAAGGCACAGGCATAATACCAATTGAATTTCTTCCTTTCCCAATCCCAGTCAAATAGGTAAAAAGATGTTTGTAGTGATTTTCTAGGGTTCAAAAATGATGGAATTGCCTTTTCCCATGCTCACTCCCAGGTGCCAGACTCAGGGTTACAACGTGACCATCTCACCGAGGGGTTTCAAAGCTGGGGCAGCTCATAGCTCAGTTTACCACTTCTGTCAGGAGAAAGAAAAGAAGATGGCCATGGTGGATGGTAAGTCTTCCATGGGACTGAGGGAAGGAATGAGAAAATAGAAGTAACTATTCTTTAAGAATATCTGTCAAATCCTATGACCCTGAAACTGATTTCCCTCCTCTCAGAGGCAGTAATGGGTAATTAGAGACCTTATAGCATAGTGGGGGAGGAAGGAAAACTCCCACACCTACTGCTGCATGGGGAAGTCAGTCAACTTCTCTGGGCCTTCATTCCCTCATCTGATTACAGGGATAATAACACCTATAATAATAACCAGAGGGGGCCTACCTGTCATGAGACTCAAATGAGATAACGTACATAAAAGTCTTTGCATACTTAAAGTGCTAAGTTAATGTCAATTATTATTATTAAATGGGCTTGTCCTAAGCAAAAGTGAAACAACCAAGTGTGTGTGTTTCTAAGGATTCTTATTAATTTTTACTGAGCAGAAAACTCAGGGAGACTATAAGCACTGAATATTCTATGTTTCCCCTTTCAAACATTTACCAACCTAGTCCTAAACCACTCTATCCCCCCCCCAAAAAAAAACTATAGGGTATCCCTTGATTGTCCAATTTCCAGAGACCAGATTTAAAGACACAAGCACACAAATATGAACAGCTGTATAACTGTAAGACTAAGAAACTGTGCCTTAGGTATTTGGGAATCAGAGTAGTACTATACATACACAGACTATTCAAATGTTGTGTGCCTGATATACTTACAAAGCTATAATACTTTTAAAAATAATTTCAATAAAAATATCTAACCTCTGTTGATATTTGTTTCCACACTGAGAACACTCAAAGTTCCAAGAAAAAGATGACATGAAGAGCGTTTCAATGAGAGGTTCCATTTGTAGAAGCAAGGGAAATGCAAACACAGGACTTTCCATATTACCTTCAAAAAGAAAAAAAAGTGCTTTTGGGAGGCAGGTTTTTAAACACAATCAAGAAGCATTCAAGAACATTAGTCTTATTTTATTTATTAATATAACTGTCATCCTACTAAATAATGGTTGCACACCTAATTTTAGAGTGGGGGAAAAAAAGTAATTCCCCTACTCCCACAATTTCTTGCTTAAAGGTTCCAAAATTTACCATCTCTTTATTTCCTCCCTGGTGAAGGCTATTGTGACAACTTATTTTAAAAGGGTAAATCAAATAGGGGGACTTTAAAAAGGAGGAGGTGCGGGAAAAGGGAAAGCAAGGGGAAGGGAATATTTTTCTCTGATGAATTAAGGAAAGCCTAGGAGATTAGGATCCAAGTTTGATCCAAGATTATTAATGATGAGTTTCTTTTGCTATAAATGATTTTAGCTATAGATCTTGAAATAAAATAACTATGAAAAAGAATCCTGGAAGTTAAGAACTAGAAGGAATCTTAAATATATTCTAGTGTTTTTACTCTTTATTTCATATACTGAAGTTCGGAGTTGTTAAATAACCTGCCCAAGGTTACACAGCTGGTTAATGGCAGAACTAGGAGTAGAGAACCTCTATAGTTTATTGAGTAGGGTGACATAGTCAGACTTGAGCTTTAAGATTAATCTGGGAGTAACCTGCTTGAGCTTTCCCCCAAACCCCTCCAAATACCTGTAAAAAATGGCTCTAAACAAATTCTACAGCATCAGAACCCACAAAAATAGAATGAAACAAATTTCCACCCCAAGACAACCTAGACGGTTGATCACTATATTGCGCTGGACTGGGAGAGAAACACAGTTCAGCCTGAGCACACAGGCAAAGACCAGGCCTCAGAGAACCTGGAGCAGGCCTCAGAGGACTGAATCACGGTCAGCTGTGACGGTTTCCATAGTTCTCAACCCACAAACACCAACAACAACTTAGAAGGTCAGTAGGAAAAGTCTGTGACGTCAAGTGAGAGAAAAGCTCTTGGCTCCAGCCCTCGTCCAACGCAAAACCTAGGGCAGCAGCTGCTTCCAGAGCTCAGCCCACAGACGGGGAATCAAGTGGCTGATCAGAGAGGGATTGCAGGGATCTCTCTGCTGGTACTTGGATCTGGCTCACAGTTCTGGGTGGCGGTCCTGGGGCAAGGAGGAGCACTGGTGTGGTAGAGCTTGTAGTGACAGTGCAGAGTAAATCCTACTCGCAGTCCCAGGGCAAAAGAGTGCTTGTGGTCACTCTCAGACCAAAGTACAGGCCAAGAAACAAGTAAACACTTCACCCTTCATCATACCACCTTGGAAGAACTGAAAATTCACAGGTCCCTAGAAGTATCTCTAAAAACAGCTGCACAAAACCCCCGAAGCTTGGGACAGTACATTCTCCACACTGGAAGCAGACCCCTACCTTAACAAAGAGTTTATAACTCAAGTAACTGGCTGGGATCATGATCAAATTTCACAAGAAAAAAGTCAAACCACAGAATCTTTCTTTGGTGACACAGAAGATCAAAACATATGACCAAAAGACAACAAAGTCAAAGCTCCTACATCCAAAGCCTCCAAGAAAAACATGCATCAATCCCAGGCCATGGAAGGGCTCAAAAAGGATTTTGAGAAGCAAGTAAGTATTGGAAAAAACTAAGACAAATGAGAGTGATGCAAGAAAATCATGAAAAACAAGTCAACAGCTTGCTAAAGGAGACCCAAAAAAATACTGAAGAAAATAACACCTTAAAAAATAGCCTAACCCAAATGACAAAAAAGGTCCAAGAAGCCCATGAGGAGAAGAATGCCTTAAAAAGCAGAATTGGCCAAATGGAAAAGGAAGCCCAAAAGTTCACTGAAGAAAATACTTCCTTAAAAATTAGAATGGAGCAAATAGAAGCTAATAACTATGAGAAATCAAGATATGAAAAAAAAAAACCAAAAGAATGAAAAAACAGAAGACAATGTGAAATATCTCACTGGAAAAACAACTGACCTGGAAAATAGATCCAAGAGAGAGAATTTAAAAATTACTGGACTGTCTGAAAGCCATTATCAAAAAAAGAGCCTAAACATCAACTTTCAAGAAATTAGCAAGGAAAACTGCCCAGATATTCTAGAACCAGGGGACAAAACAGAAATTGAAAGAATCCACTGATCTCCTCCTGAAAGAGATCCCCAAAGGAAAACTCCTAGGAATATTGTAGCCAAATTCCAGAGTTCCCAGGGCAAGGAGAAAATATTGCAAGCAGCCAAAAAGAAAAAATTCAAGTATTGTGGAAACACAATCAGGATAACACAAGATTTAGCAGCTTCTACATTAAGGGACCGGAAATATGATATTCCGGAAGGCAAAGGAGATAGGATTACAACCAAGAATCACCTACCCAGCAAAACTGAGTATAATCCTTCAGAGGAAAAAATGGTCATTCAGTAAAATAGAGGACTTTCAAGCATTCTTGATGAAAACACCAGAGCTGAATAGAAAATTTGACTTTCAGATACAGGACTCCAGTGGAACATGAAGAGGTAAACAGGAAAGAGAAATCACAAGGGACTTATTAAGGTTGAACTGTTTACATTCTTGCATGGAAAGATGATATTTGTAACTCACGAGACCTTTGTCAGTATTAGGATAGTTGGAGGAAAAAAAATTATATGTATAGACAGAGAGATAGACAGATAGAGAGCACAGGGTGAGTTGAAGAGGAAGGGGCGATATCTGAAGAATAAAATTAAAGGGAGAAGGAGAAAGGGAAAGGTAGAATGGGGTAAATTATCTCACAAAAAAGACAAGAAAAGGCTTTTACAGTGGAGGGGAAGTGGGGGAAGGGGAGAGGGAATGAGCAAATCTTATTCTCACCAGATCTGGCTTAAGGAGGAAATAACATACACATTCAATTGGGTATGGAAATCTATCTTACCCTACAGGAAAATAGGGAGGAAGGGGACAAGAGAGCAGGGACATGATAGAGGGGAGGGCAGACTGGTGGAGGGGATAATTAGAAGCAAAAACTTCTCAGGAGGGACAGAGTTAAAAGAGAGAACGGAATAAACGGGGGGCAGGATAGGATGAAGGGAAATATAGTTAGTTTTTCACAACATGACTACTATGGAAGTGTTTTGCATGACTACACATGTATAACCTGTATGGAGTTGCTTGCCTTCTTGATGAGGGTGGATAGGGAGAGAGGAATGGAGAAAATTTGGAACCCAAAGTTTTAAAAACAAATGTTAAAAATTGTTTTCACATGCAACTGGGAAATAAGATATACAGGCAATAGAGTATAGAAATCTATCCTGCCCTACAGAAAAATAGAAGGGGAAGGGGTTAAGAGAAGGAGGGGGAGGATAGAAGGGAGGGCAGATTATGGGAATGGGTATTCAGAATGCATGCTGTCTTGGGGTGAGGGGAGGGATGAGATGGGGAGAAAATTTGGAACTCAAAATCTTGTGGAAGTGAATGTTGAAAACTACAAATAAATTAATAAAACGGGGGGGGGCCAAATTTTTTTAAAAAATAATCTGCTTGGCAAACTACATAGAGCAAATTAACTGAATAACTGATTGGGTGTCCCACACTAAGTTGGGCACAAACACAGCAAGCCCTCAGTGGTGGAAGAGGACTAAACCAACCTACTTAGAAATGGAACAGGTTGGGGGCGGAGCCAAGATGGCGGAGTGAAAGCAGTGACTTGCTTGAGCTCTCCTCCAAACCCCTCCAAATACTCATAAAAAATGGCTCTAAACAAATTCTGAAGCAGCAGAACCCACAAAAAGACAGAGTGAAACAAATTTCCAGCCCAAGACAACCTGGATGACTGATCACAAAGGTGTATCGCACTGGGCTGGGAGCACAGCGCAGCGTGGCATGGGCGCGCAGGCTTCAGGGAACCTGGACCAGGCCTCATAGGACTGAATCGCGGGCAGCTGTGGAGGTTTCCAGACTCCTCAATCCACCAATGCCAAAGACAACTTAGAAGGTCAGTGGGAAAAGTCTGTTTCTGTGGGTGCTGAGACAGGAAGGTGGGGTTTCAGCTCCATTCCCCAAGAGCACGGCCCTGGGTGGGGGGCAGCTGCTTCCCGAGCTTCCGGCCCACAGACTGAGGGGGAATCCTGTGGCTGATCAGAGAGGAATTGCAGGGATCTCTTTGCCAGTGCTGAGGCAGCAATCTCTTGCTTTGCCCATGTTTGGATCTGGGTCACAGTTCTAGGCGGCAGTGCTGGGGCGAGGAGGAATGCTGGCACGGTGGAGCCTGGAGTGGCTGTGGAGAGGAACCCTTCCTCACAGTTACAGGACAGAAAGGAATATTTGTGGTCACAGGCCAGGAAAGGAGTAAACACCTTGCCCCTTATCATACCACCTTGGTAGAACTGAAAATTTACAGGTCCCTACAAGTATTTCTGAAAACAGCTACACAAACCCCTGAAGCTTGGGACAGTACACTCTCCACATTGGAAGCAGACTCTTACCTTAACAAAGAGTTTAAAACTCAAGTAACTGGCTGGGATCATGAGCAAGCAGCGCAAAAAGAGTCAGACCATAGAATCTTACTTTGGTGAAAAAGATCAAAATATACAACCAGAAGAAGACAACAAAGTCAAAGCTCCTACATCCAAAGCCTCCAAGAAAAATATGAATCAGTCCCAGGCCTTGGAAGAGCTCAAAAGGGATTTTGAGAAGCAAGTAAGGGAAGTAGAGGAAAAACTGAGAGTGATGCAAGAAAATCACAAAAAACAAGTCAACAGCTTGCTAAAGGAGACCCCAAAAAATACTGAAGAAAATAACACCTTAAAAAATAGCCTAACCCAAATGGCAAAAGAGGTCCAAAAAGCCAATGAGGAGAGGAATGCCCTAAAAAGAAAAACTGGCCAAATGGAAAAGGAAGTCCAAAAGATTACTGAAGAAAATACTTCCTTAAAAATTAGAATAGAGCAATTGGAAGATAGTGACTTCATGAGAAATCACGACACAGTAGAACAAATCCAAAAGAATGAAAAATTAGAAAACAATGTGAAATATCTCACTGGAAAAACAACTGACCTGGAAAATAGATCCAGGAGAGAGAATTAAAAATTATTGGACTATCTGAAAGCCATGATCAAAAAAAGAGCCTAGACATCATCTTTCAAGAAATTATCAAGGAAAACTGCCCTGATATTAGAACCAGAGGGCAAAATAGAAATTGAAAGAATCCACAGATCTCCTCCTGAAAGAGATCCCCAAAGGAAAACTCCTAGGAATATTATAGCCAAATTCCAGAGTTCCCAGGTCAAGGAGAAAATATTACAAGCTGCCAGAAGGAAACAGTTCAAGTATTGTGGAAACACAATCAGGATAACACAAGATTTAGCAGCTTCTACATTAAAGGACCACAGGGCATGGAATATAATATTCCGGAGGGCAAAGGAGATAGGATTACAACCAAGAATCACCTACCCAGCAAAACTGAGTATAATCCTTCAGGGGAAAAAATGGTCATTCAGTGAAATAGAGGACTTTCAAGCATTCTTGATGAAAAGACCAGAGCTGAATAGAAAATTTGACTTTCAAATACAGGACTCAAGTGGAACATGAAGAGGTAAACAGGAAAGAGAAATCATAAGAGACTTATTAAGATTGAACTGTTTACATTCCTGCATGGAAAGATGTATTTATAACTCATGAGACCTTTGTCAGTATTAGGGTCGTTGGAGGAAAAAAATTATATGTATGTATATGTAGATAGATAGACAGAGGACACAGGGTGAGTTGAAAATTAAGGGGTCCTATCTAGAGAATAAAATTAAGGGATGAGAGAGGATTATATTAGGAGAAGAAGAAAGAGAGTGGTAGAATGGGGTAAATTATCTCACAAAAAAAAAACAGAAAAGTCTCTTGCAGTGGAGGGAACAGGGAAGGTGAGAGGGAATGAGTGAATCTTATTCTCATAGGATTTGGCTAAGGAGGAAATAACATACACATTCAATTGGGTATGGAAATCTGTCTTACCCTACAGGAAAATAGCGGGAGAAGGGGACAAGAGAGCATGGGGATGACAGAGAGGAAGGCAGATTGGGAAAGGGGTAATCAGAAGCAAATACTTCTGAGGAGGGACAGGGTCAAAAGAAAGAATAGAAGAAATGGGAGGGCAGGATAGGATTAAGGGAAATAGAGTTAGTTTTTCACAACATGTCTACTATGGGTGTTTTGCATAACTGCACATGTACAACCTATATTGAGTTGCTTGCCTTTTCAATGAGGGTGGTGTGGGGAGGGAGAAGAGAAAATTTGAAACCTAAAGTTTTAAAAAACATATGTTTAAAAAAATGTTTTCACATGCTACTGGAAATAAGAAATACAGGAAATGAGGTATAGAAGTCTATCCTGCCCTACAGGAAAATAGAAGGGGAAGGGGATTAGAGAAGGGGAGAGAGATAAAAGAGAGGACAGACTAGGGGAAGGGATATTCAGAGTGCATGCCATCTTGGGGTGGGGGGAGGGGAGACGGGGTAAAAATTTGGAACTCAAAAACTTGTGGGAGTGAATGTTGAAAACTAAAAATAAATAAAATTTATATTTTAAAGAAATGGAACAGGTCAACAACAACAGCTATCAGCGGTGGAATTTGGCACACGAGTTATCAATGTACTTTGAGCCTGGGTGAAGGAGAACGACCTAGTTGCCCAACAAACAAGGTCCATCCTATCCTTCTGGACATGCCCAGGATTTTCCCTAAAACAATGGAGCATATTTAATCATACCATTCTCACAAAAATATTAATAATATTATTGTTATGCTCCATTAATATTAATACTTTTAGTAAAAGCAAAATGGATTTTGTACCTTTAATAAAATTTCATATTTATCTTATCCATTTTTATTTCAACTTTTGTGCATATTTTGCATTTTATGAAAGAAATATATGAATACAATTTATAAGTAAGTATTAGAGTCTATGCTCAAAATTTAACTGCTAAAGGTTTGTGATTTTAAAAGTTGGGAGACCATTCTTCTAAAGAAACTTTTCAACTACAAAAAACAGAACACTTAAAAGTTTCCATCATTGCAAATTACTTACCTAACTTACAATGAAGTTTTGGTTGAAGCTTAGCAAAAATTTTGTTTCTGACTTCATTTAGGTGAGTCTCAGCCTTTCGAAGTCTATCTGAAACATTCCTTATAGAACTTTCATCTAAAAACAAAATTAAATACAGAGTATATATTAGTATTTTGTAAAATTCTTATTAATCTGTCTTTCCCATCAGCATTTTAGAAATATTAGCCACATTTTGGAGAGTCATTTTATTGTGGACAGAGAGAGTGAGAGTCAGAAATATCTCAGTATAAGTCATGTCTCAGAAACAAACTGGTTGAGTGACTCCGGGTACATTTAATTTCCTTGGTATCCTGAAACAACCCTCCAAGACTATAAACTGCCAAGCCAGTGCCATTTGCATAAGTCACAGCTACATGTGGCCCACAACATTCCTGAGTGCAGCCTAAACCAGACTTAAATCTGGTTAACTGGGAAACATTTAACAAAATAAATAATAAATTCAATAAATAAAAGTACAATAAAACAGATACTGTTAATATGTAGTTTTCTAACACACAGTCTGCAGCGATCTTCATGTGCCTTTTAGTAGCCAACATTTCTCTCGCAGCTCCGCCCCCCTTCCATTACCAAAACCCCAACTTTGGATTACTCTAGTCATCCACCTCCTTCATTCTATTCATGTGCTGCTGAATGAAGCTAAGGGAAATCAGCAGACAGTGCTTATTGGGTCTGTGACAAATTTCTAATCTTAACTGGGCCCTCACTGTAGTGAGGCAAACATTTTACTTAACCCTTATCAATTTGATGTCCCACTCCTAACAGATAAGAGTTCCAAACCTCACCTCTCTTCAAGCCTCCCACAGAACCCTGTGCCCCTACCCTCTCAGAAGAGGGCCTCATATCATACTTCACTAAAAAAACTGAGCAGGGACTGTCTTCTACTTCTGTGTATATCCCCAGTGCTTAGTACAGTACCTGGCACTAGTGTTTTTTGCACTGTGTGTTTCCCATGCCTGGAACACAGTCCCTCCTAAGACAGTAACTGGAACATAATAGGTGCTTAGTAAATGTTTGTTCCCTTTCCTTCCTATTTCTGATGAGGGTACCATCAATCCAATATCCCAGGTTCATAACCTCTGTATTTCTCTTTACTTCTCACTTTCCCTAACCCCACACATCCAACCAATTGCCCAATCTTTCCTTTTCTACCTCCATAATAATTCTGGGATCCATGTTTTCCTCACTATTTACACAACCACCACCTTAGAGCCTCTCGTTACCTTTCACCTGGACCTGTTCTAGTCTATCCTATATAGTATATACTGTCAAAATGTGTATGTATGTATGCGTGTGTGTGTGTATACGTATTTGTGTACACACACACACACACACACACACACACACACACACACACACGAGTATATACTATCAAAAGTAATTTTCTTTAACTAAGATCTGACCAGGTCACTTCCCTACTCAAATTCCAATTGTTATCTAAGATAAAATACCAACAACTCTGTTTGGCTTTGAAAGCCTTTTACAACATGGTCCTAACCTATCTTTCCAGCCTCATTATATATTCCTCCCTCTCTTCAACTCCATGGTCCAGTCGAATTGACCTTCTAGCTATTTTCCAAGCACCATACTCATCTCCATGACTTTGCATCACTCATCACCATTCCTGGAATGCAGTCCCTCCTAATAACCACATAAAATCCCTTACTTCTTTTAAGATGCAGCTCAAGCAACATCTTCTACAGAAAGCCTTTTTCTAATCCCCCAAATGTTATTGCCCTCCCTCATGTTTATTTTGTATTTATTCACATAAATACATATCTCCCTCCAAAGAATATAAGATTGAGAGCAGGGACAATTTCATTTTTCATTTTCACATTTCCAGAATATAGCACAGAGTAAGTATTTAATAAATGATTGTTGAACATCTCATACCATATGCCAAGATATGGTCAAAATAGATACATGCTTTAAATATAAAGGGTGATACCATAAGCAAATCAGGGGAGAATGGAATAGTTTACCTGTCAGATTTATGGTAAGGGAAGAACTAAATGAGATAAAAAGCATTACAACAGGTAAAATGGATAATTTTGATTATATGAAATTTAAAAAGTTTTGCACGAACAAAACCAATACAGCCAAGATTAGAAGAAAAAGAGAAAGGGGGGGGATGTTCTATAGCAAATGTCTCTCATAAAGGCTTCATTTCTCAAATATGAAGAGAATTTAGTAAAATCATAAGAATGTTAAGTCATTCCCCAATCCATAAATGGTCAAAGGATATGAAGAGGTAGTTTTCAGATGAAGACATCAAAGCTATCTATAGTCATATGAAAAATGCTCTAAGTCACTAACGGGTAGAGAAATGCAAATTAAAACGGGGTACCACCACACATCTATTCAGACTGGCTAATATGAGAACAAAGAAAAATGATAAATGTTGAAGAGAATATGGGAAAATCGGAACACTAATGCACTGCTGGAGTTGTAAACTGATCCAACCATTCTGGAGAGCAATTTGGAACTATGCCCAAAGGGCTGTAAATCTGTACATACTCTTTGACCCAGCAATACCACAACTAGGTCTGTATCCCAAAGAGGGAAAAAAAAAAGGGAAAAGGACCTATATATACAAAAATATTCGTAGCAGCTCCTTTTGTAGTGGCCAACAATTGGAAATTAGGGGATATCCATCAATTGGGGAATGGCTGAACAAGCTGTGGTATATGATAGTAACAGAATACTATTGCGCTATAAGAAATGATGAGAAGAATGCTTTCAGAAAAAGCTGGAAAAACTTACATGAACTGATGCAAAGTGAAGTGAGCAGAATCAGGAGAACATTGTACACAGTAACAGTAATATTGTACAATGATCAACTGTGAATGAATTCTCAGCAATACAATGATTCGAGACAATTCCAAAGGACTCATGATGAAAAATGTTATCTACTTCCAGAGAAAGAACTGAATGAGTCTGAATGCAGATCAAAGCATATTATTTCTTCATGGGTTTTTTTTACTGTGTTCTCCTTCACAAAATGACTAATATGGAAATGTTTTGCATGACACTACCTGCAGGACACTATGCACATGTATAACCTATATCAAATTGCTTATTGTCTTAGAAAAGGGGGGAAAGAAGGAGAGAATTTAGAACTCAAAATTTTTTAAAAAAATAATGTTAAAAATTGTTTTTACATGTAATTGGGAAAAAACATTCTTTAAAAAATGCTTACTGACTGAAGTAGTTGGTTTCAAACCTTTTCTTCTTTCCTCAAATCTCTCTACGCTACCCCTACCCTTCTCTCTCTCAGGCCACCTCACATTCTACGTCACAAACAAAATGGAGGCCATCTGCGGGAGAACCCTTTTTCTCTCCTCCTCTCTATCTCAATCTCTTTCAGAGCTTCACCTGTGCTCTCTCCTCTTTCATCCAGTCTAAGGAAGATGGCTGCTTTTCTCTCTTAAGAGCATAGATCTAGAGCTGGAAGGGATATCAGAAGAAGCTTGTCCTACCCACCTCATTTTACAAATGAGAAAACTAAGGTTCCAGGACATTAAGTGATTTGCCAGATCTTCTGACTGTAGACCCAATCAATCCTCTTTTTCCACTTACTGCCTATTTATGCCCATGACCTTTATCCTTTCTTATGGCCTCCAGAAGCTTGATATACATCTCCTGCTCCTCTTTCCCTATGTCTGTCTGTCTGTCTGTCTGTCTCTCTCTCTCTCACACACACACACACACACACACACACACACACTTCTACTATCTTCCTATCTGACTCCTTTTTGTGCTGCCTATAAAATACTGTCTCCCCCATGCTTTAAAAAAAACACTTCCCTTGACTCTATTATACTCTCCTGTGATCATCCTACATTTCTGTTCCCTTTTACTGCCTAGAAAGACTTTAACAAGTTACCCCCATCTGCTTCCTGCTCATCCTCTCACTTACCAATCCTCTGCAATTTGACTTATTTCATCACCCAGATCACTGATAAACCCAATGGTCTTTCCTTAATGGTCATCTTCTTCTTGACAGGTTTTGACACTGCTGATGACTCCTCCTAGATTCCCTTTTCCCTAAGTTTTCATGACACTACTTTTCCCTGGTTCTCAACCTACTTGTATGGCTGCTCTTTATCAGTCTCCAATGGTGGACTATTATCCATTTCTTAGCCCTAAAACTTATCTGCTCTTTAAGTCACTGTCCCAGGCCCTCTTCTCTTCTCTCTCTCTATTCTCCCTTAGTGATCTCACCAACTGCCAATGGTTCAATGAACATCTCTACACCAAAAACTCCTGAATCTATATATCTAGCTCGAACATCTTAGTTATTGTTATTGTTCAGTCTTTTCAGTTGTGCCCAACTCTTCATGAACCCTTGTGGGGTCTGTATCAATAGATATAAGCAAAAACTCTTGGGAGAGAGGGTCTACAATAATTAAAGAGTGTAAAGGGGTTTTGTGACCAAAAAGTTCATGAACCACTGTTCTACATCTTAAGCAAAAAAAAACAAAAACAAAAAACCTAATTTTGTCACTTCCACATTCAAAAATCTTCAATAGAATTGTCTCTACTGTAAATTATGAACACTTAAGACAAGTACAGTAACATTCTCCTCATGGAGCTGTGAATTAATTCAAACAATTTAGGAAAGCCACTTGGAATTATGCAAGAAAAGTCACCAAACTGTTCATACCCTTTGATCCAGAGATCTCTCTACTGGGCATTTGTCCCCAATATGGCAAAGGTAGCAAAGAAAAGTCCCCTATATACTTAAATATACACAATGGCACTTTTTTGTAATAAAAATAGAAAGTGATAACAAGTGGGTTCCCATCAATTAGGAAACTTAATATGTGGCATATAAATGTCATGGAATACTACTGTACCATAAGAAATAAAGAATTCAGGGAAAAATAGGTGATTGACAAAGACTGTTTCCTAATACACTACACCTGTTTATGTTCTAGTGCCTTAATTTTTCAATTTACTTCTACATTTTGTTATATGACATATGTGTGAGTGTTTATTTTTAATTTAGATGGCTATGCATACAAAATGTAAGCAGTCAAACCAATCAGATCAAACTGTTGTACCCAGAGTTTGGTACTGGTTTTTTTCTCTGATCCTGTACAAGAAAAATAAATATAATTACATTTTAAAAAAAAATAAGGAATTCAGAGAAACAGAAGACTTATATGAATTGATGCAGACTGCAGTGAGCAGAACTAAGAAAACAACCTACACAATGACTATAATAACATAAATCAAAAACATTAAAATAAAGCCAAAGGCTAAATAATTTTCATGACTAACTTTGGCCCTGGAGAGAGGTACATAAGTAAATCTCCCTTCTTTCACTCCAGTGGGAGACTATGAGTACAGAATCATATATATAGTCAGTCATTCTATTAGTTTTGCTTACTATTTTCTTTGTTACAAGGGAGGGCCCGTCCAGATGGAACTAAGATCTAAAAGTAAAAGGCAGTTGGCACATAATAAAAAAGTAAAAGGCCTAAACAAAATATTCATTTATGAACACCTTAGCACTAGCTTTGGTACAAGCTGTCCTCCATACCCAGAATGCACTCCCTCTTTACCAGGGCCAGACCAGAAACCAAACACTGGAAATTTAATTCTTTCATGCCTGAAACTCCCACCCTGGGACACTCTCTGCAGACTGGGACTCTCTCAGAAACCTATCACATCTAGGATCAGCTTCAGTAATGCTTCCTTTTACCCTCTGGCCACCTTCTCACTAACAGCACCGCTTCACTAGCTGCCAAGCCACCATGCAGGCATCCCCGTTTCATATCTCCATTCTCCATCTAGTTCTTGAACCATAACCAAATCAACCATTATCACTCCTGGTAAGGATGTGTCAATCTCACTATCCCTATAACTTTCCAAACCATAGCACCTACCTTCTTCCTGGACACCACTTTGCTATATGTGCTGCTTCTCCCTATTAGAACGTAAGGTCCTTGAGGATAGGAACTTTCTTCACTTTTTTACTGGTACACCAAGCACAATGCTTGGCACAGAGAGCTTAATAAATGTTTTTTTTTTCATTCATTCATTCATCTCTGCTTTTCAGAATTCTTATCTTTAAGGCTTAGGTGCTTAAAGACTTCCCTGATCCCATAAGCTATGTGTTCTCTCCCTCCTTAAGTGACTACATATTTATTTAGCTATGAACATGCTATATCCCCCGATTACAACCCCTTCTACAATGCAGAGCACAAAAAAATTACTACATTTTTGTCTTTGCATACTCAGCATACAACATCTACTTCGCACACAATAGGTCCTCAATAAATGTTTGATGAAATGAACTAATGGACTGTTGTTAACTTGTACAAGTCCCTCATGAAATCATTCTATCCAAATATAACACCCCATCCAGGTAATGCTGGCAGCTATTTATAGTCTCCCAGGCTATTCTCCCTTTTTTCTCAAGGAGTTCAGTACCTGGCTCAAAGTATTCCCCTCAATCCCAACTCCTGTACTTATACTAGAGCTGCAAGGAGGTTTACTAGTCTAAGTTCACAAAGGCTCATTCCTTGATGAAGAACAATAACTTCTCTGAATTATGTGAACTATAAAACATATTGGTTATAGATACTTCAAACACACTTGCAGCCCTTGGGTCTTCCTTCCTGGGGATAGATTTGTCTGATCTAAAAGAAGAAGTGTGGAATAGAAGACAGATAGTCAACTTCAGAGTCAGATGGACAAGGGTTCAAGTACTGCCCTTGACATACTCTGGTTGTGTGATCCCGGGCATATTACTTAATCTTTTAGTGCCTAAGGCAACTGCATAAGACTAAAATGTGCAAAGCAAGTGCTAAACTGTATTAGTAGTAGGAACCTCCACATCAGGAGTTCCCCATACCAATGAAATTATCAATCAAAAAAAATCTCCCCCCCCAAAGCACCCCAAATCCTGATGTAAATACCAGGATGCATTAACAAAAGTAGCATGCCCTGATCTGGTCAGAACACACCTAGAATACTTCATCCATTTCTAGATGACATGGATAGTGAGAGGTAACAAAGCTATGGCATATGATGATTGAATGTAACTGGATACATTCGGCCTGAACATAAGACTACCAGAGATAAAGGAGGGAAATAATAGCTGTCTTCAAATATTTGAAATGGGACTACCCTGCCTGGCTCAAAAAGACAGAACTAGGGCTAATGTATGAGAAGTCAAAGAGAGACAGGTTTTAGTTTAACATGAAGAAAAACTTCCATTTGGGGATTGCTTTTATTGTTAGGACTACCTAAGGAAGTAGTAAATTCCTTCTCACTGCAGGGAGTGTCCAATGATGCTTAACTTTATCAGGAATGTTAAATGGATTTATGATTTGAGTAGGCACTAAACTAGATCACTGAAGTCCCTTCCAATTCTTAAGATTTTATAAAAATTGGTAAGCAGCACTCTCAAGAACAGAAATTACAAGATTACAATGTTTCTGCCTCTATAAAAGTTTATAGATGGAATTTCCTGGGAAATCCCAAAGGAACTACCTTCATTTTAAGGCATGAGAAATACAGACATTGAGGGATTTGTTCTGGAGACCTCCAGGGAATGTGCTACTCACATTTCCTGCCTGAGATGGTTAACTCAGGCTGCAAATGCAAGCTGGCTTTCCTGCTAATGGTACAAGGTGAAATGGCTTGAGAAATGCCCTTTTTATACTATCACTTGTTGCAGAAGATTAACAGTGACTAGACAGAATGGAACAAGACACAAATAAAGCCAAGGAAATATATGTACAAAAATATTTATAGCAGCTCTTTTTTGGGAGCAAAGAACTGGAAATTGAGGAGACGCCCATCAACTGGGGAATGGCTGAACAAATTGTGGTATATGATTATAAAGGAATACTATTGTCCTATAAGAAATGATGAGCAGGATGCCTTCAGAAAAACCTGAGAAGACTTATACAGGCTGATGCAACGTGAAATGTACTGTGTACAAAGTAACAGCAATAGTGTTAAGATGATCAGTTGTGAATGACTTGGCTATTCTCAGCAATACAAGAATCTGAGACAACTCTGAAGAACTTATGATGAAAAATGCTATCCATTCCCAGAGAAAGAAATGATGGTGTCTGAATACAGACTGAAGCATACTTTTTTACTTTATTTTTCTTGAGGTTTTTTTCTTTCCCTTTGATCTATGTTTTCTTTCACACCATGACTATTATGTTAATGTTTTGCATGATTACTCATATATAACCTATATCCACTTGCTTACCTTCTCATTGGAGGTGGAAGGGAGTGGGGAGGGACGTAGGGAGAGAATTTAGAATTCTAAGTTTTGAAAACAAATGTTAAAAATTATTTTTACATGTAACTGGGGAAAAATAAAATCCTAAATAAACAAAAAAAATTTTTAAAAAAAGCCAAGGAAAGATTCCAAAGGGTCAAAGTGAAATGACCATAAAGAGGTTGGTGAATGAAACAATGTAACTGTAAAGAAAAAAAAATCCTGTTCTAGTATAATTATGCAACAGGTATGATATTATTTCCATGAAGAGGCAAGAAACTATAGCTTCCAAAGAAAGAGCTGACACACTCAAGGAAACACTAAAGAAAAGAACAGTAAAAAAATTTTTTTAATTTTAAAAAAGAAAACACAACAGTACTACAGTAAAAATGAGGAATACTGTTATTGCACCCAGCAGCCAAGCCTTCTGAAAAAGCAGCTGCCACCTACTCTCAAGGAAAAGACTAAATAAAGAAGACAGAGTAGTACTAGGGCAAAGGGAAAGAATACTGTTATTGCTTCTAATACGAAGAGATGCATGATGTTGGTCGACTCAAAAAATGTAGATTTTTCTCTTAAGTTCTGAGAAAAGTTAAGGATCACATGAACAAAGATCCTAAAAGAATCCTTTTTGAGAGGAGGTAAGTGTAAAGGCTCTTAAAAATGCAATTTTAACTCTAACAATTTCAAATAATGCCAATCAAGAAGAAATGAGGGAGGAATCTAAAGAAATCAACTGACTAGGTAGAGAAGCTCACTGATGAATTCAAGATTTTTAAAAGGCAAGCATTTTGGTGTAGGGGAAAGAATACTGAATCCTGGACTTTTGGAGTTTCCTAGAAGACTGGCTTTGCCATTTATTCACCATATGAACAAAAATGAGTTACAAATTCTCCAAACTTTAGTTTACTCTTAGGTAAAATGCCAAGAATACTTGCCCTGTTTCCCATGGTTCTTGCGAGGAAAGTATTTATTGAAATACCACATAAATGTCAATTATTATCACCAAAAACAAAGGAAGGGCATATAATCAAGGACAAATACAAAAAAAAGCTAAGAATAGTGTCAGCAAAACTGACATAGGCTAAGCAAAAGCCTGTAACAAAAGGGCTTTTAAAAAAACGATATTCAAGATATGAAAATGAAAGGAAAAAATAGGACCAGTGATTAAGAAACATGGTATAACATTAACAGAAGACGAAAAAAGTTACAATCACTCAACTCCTATTTCTTCTTCTATCTTTATCACCAAGAAAAACAGACAAACCTCAAAGGACAGAACAAATACTGTGAAAAGGAAATTGACATCCAAGAAAAAGAAAAGGCCTATCAGTGTTAAATGAGTGGTAACTGGTATGCTTAACTCTTCTCCATAGCCTATGGAACCGTCATCAATATTCTGATAACTTAAAAACAAAACAAAGAATACAGTTACCAACCTTTAGCTCCATTCAAATGATGAGCAGTCAAAAGCAGGATCGCTTGATTATACTTTATATACAACTGCTGGAACATAGATTCTTCTTTAGGACATAGTTCAGTCACAGCTTTCTTTAACCCTTCCAAGTGCACTAATGCTGAGAGAATACAGTCTAACCAACAGAGAGCATATGCATTTCTCCACTGAAGACATGGAGATTCAGTAAATGGCAGGCAACGATTCTCCAGTAGGATTTCTAATTTAGTTGCATCCACTTCAGGCTCTGGAATACTCTCAGTCTGAGAACCAACAATCAAATGATGTTCTTCAGCTGTCTGGTCTGCAATTTCAGCTTCCAAAATCCCACTATGCTGCAAAGATTCAGCTGCCTTGCTTGGGTTCTGTTGCCAGTCTTGTAACACAACAGATAAATCTGATGAAGTTCTATACAAATTATATCCATCAGGTCTGTGAGCAAGCTCACTGTTCACAGTACATTCACTGTCGAACCATGTGTTGCTGCCATCTTCCTTTGAATTTGGTTCCAAAGATGAAGCAACACTGCTGCTTTCCAAGATCTTCCTCTTTAGCTGTTTACGGGGAGGCTGATAATTTTCCAAATCAACAGAGACTATAATGTTATCTAATGACTTATAGCCCAATGGATAGATGCACTAAGAGGGAAAAGAGAATCAAAAAAGGTAAACACTGCAAAGCAAACAGTTACAAAGCTTAATGGTCTTAACTGTAGTTTTATTCAGGAATACAGAAAAGGAAAAGCACATATTTTCCTGCTTTAAATAGCTAACATAAAGATAATGCAAAAAGCAATCAACAATTTTAATTTTTTTTTAAAAAAAACCTTGTAGAACAATGTTATAATCTTAGGGGACAGGAGAGGGGACTAAAAAACTAAACAAATTTTGAAGACCACAAGAAGAAAAAGCATAGTAAATCCTTCATTTCTTCAGTGTGAGTACTCACAGTGATGAAGAGTTCATTCTCCCTCTCAGGGATTCTTATCTGTGCTTTTCCCACTGAGGACTGTACCAGAGGCCTTCATCTTGCTCTTTTACTATCTCAGGGGTACTAACTATACTTAAGCTGCCTATTTGTGTCTTGTTCTTGATATATAACCAGACCAACTCTCTTTCTGGTCATACATGTCTTTTACACAATTTCTGGAGCACAAATTAACTCTAGTTACATGCTTTGGCTGATCCATACTCACATCAGCTATTTTTCCATTGCCTTCAAAGATATTCTACTTATTTTCTATCTTGATAAAGTGAATAATTTTGTTCAATTTTAACATGTTCTCATCAATTTCTATAGTGCAGTAATACAATCTCAATACAACATGAATAAAATTATTTCAAATAATTCCTCAGAAAAGACTTGACTGCTCTTAAAATGTATGGAACCGGGGCAGCTACATGGCGCAGTGGATAGAGCACCAGCCCTGGATTCAGGAGGACCCGAGTTCAAGTCTAGCCTCAGACACATAACACTTACTAGCTGTGTGACCCTGGGCAAGTCACTTAACCCCAACTGCCTAAAAAAAAAAAAATCAAAAAAATGTGTGGAACGTAGCTGACAAAAAAAAAAATTAACATGATTCAGAATAAAATTAAACTAGAATGAAAAACTGAAATATACTTGCAAAAATGAAAAGATTTATTTTTCTCTTCCATAGGTTCACTATATTAGACTGAGTTCTCTTTCATCCAGTTTATTAATAGAGTTTCTAGAATATAAGTGTATAAACATTACTATCACTTGACAGAAAACATGTTGGGGTTTTTTTCCCTTCACTGGAGAACTAGAAACATTTGTCCATGACTTGGTAAACTACACAGGAATAAATTACTATAATACACTTTCATGGATACTCCTGAAAGTCATTCAAAAATTTATGGATTACTGTCAAAATTACTTATAAAAGTTACTTCAATTGTGTCTTTGTATCCCCAGTAAGAAGTACAACACCTGGGACACAGGAGGCCTTAATAATGTTGACTGATTAGTTAACAAAAAAGTTCAAAGAATATAGGTTACCTATTGCTTCCAAATATTGCTTCCAAATATGAGTTCTATTTAGCAAAATTCTAAAAATTAATTTATTACCTGTGGATCTTCACACAAAGAGATAGATTCTTGAAAACTGATTCGATAAGACTTTAGAGTTTTGATCTTTCCCTTCTCTCTACAGGCTGGACAGTACCCATCTGACGTAACTTTAGCTGAATCACACTTCTGAGAAAGAAAGAAAACAATGTAAAATGTATGTATTCCTATTCAGTATCAAAGAAAGAAGTGGAAATACATTAGAAAATCTTTCCAGTTCTCATACTAGCAGTTACACTAGCAATCATTTTTAACATGGCAAATAAAATAAATACATATAAGGATTTAAAATTTAAATTGTTGGTCAAAAAACAATGTCATTGTAGCTTTAAAAGGTTTCTGTATTAAAACTGCATCATTTTTATTTGCAAAGAAAAAATGATATCAACAATGAACAGATTCCATGATTTTTAAGGTAAACCATAAGTTTTGTGCGGCTAAAATAAACACTTTCTTATATCAATGAAAGGTAAATATATGAAAATAATCTTTCGCCATTGCTGTAAGATTTCCGTGGAAAGTATAATTTATATTAAAAAAGTTATTTGGTAAAAATAAAAACCAAATTAGTTAATGGATCAAAAACAAGAAAAAAACAACTTTGCACAGAGTGGAAAACAAGCTCACTGACTTTTCCCAAATACCCCACCATGTGGAGTGAAGATATCCCTATACCAGTGTCTTGTCCAATCACTGGCAAACCATTTCCAATCTTCTGGGAATCCATCATTCCGAGTCATTGGCTAAATTATGTAACTTGTCAATATGTTCTTAGTCAATATCACTAAGGATTTTTCAATGAACCCTGGAAAAAAAAAAGTCAACAGGCAGTTAAGTCAAAATCCAATTAACTTTCAGAAAAGCCATTTTATTTTAGAAAAAGTATGTGTTAAGTATATGTTGAAAATTAAGTAACATCTTGAGATAAAATGTCTGTGAAATTATTATCCAAATCACAATTTGAAAAAAAAATGTATTAAAACTGACTACATATCTTTTACATTCATTTGTCACATTAGTTATACAAATTTTTTGTTGTGGGAATGGGGCAAGTTCTCCCCTTCCTCTCAGGATCATTTCCGACAGCATACATCTTAAATGGTACTTAATCTAAAAAGAGCTTTATTATTTAGCAAAACAGCTTGCTATATACTGAATGGAGTTTGAAGATAGCCACTGTTTAATTCTAGTAACAAACTGAAATGAGTATACTAGGAACATGTTTTAAATTTATCCTATAACTGTTTTCAATTTTTGAATGGGGGAATGTATAGAATACCAGTTCCCCCCACATTATTTGTCCTAAGACTTCCTCCAGTTTAACAGCATTGTTTTTCTGAGACAGGAATGAAATATTTAGTTTTGTTGTTGTTGTTGTTAAGTAACCTATGTAAATTATATGAGAAACAGAAATACACATAATACAGATTTTATTCAGGTAACAAGCCAGGGAACCCTAAGGAGTATCCTTAGCAGTTCTCAAACTTTGAAAAGCACTGTTCCAGTGGTGTCCTCAAAATCCCACGAGTAGAAAGGATTTCAGAAGCATAAGTGCTAAAATAATTCAATATCAAAGTGAATTTCAACCCACATCTTCGACATTATCTTCGACACTTAAGGAAATTACTCTGGCCTTAATCCAAGTCTAAATGACACCTTCTCCCTCAACTCATCTCAATATTAAGCAGGTCATATCAGTTCAATATATTTCCTTGCTATGTTTCTATATAGATAATTCATACCCTAAACTTATGGAGAAAAAGTAAATTTCTGGAAGGTACTCAAATTGAGTTACAATTCATAAAGAAGACTTATCCTTAGATATTCATTCTTAAGGAAAATCGTCCTCGTACACCTTGAAAGAATGCCTTCTTTGATGTAAATGTCAATTTATCACTAAATCTAAGCCTTTATTTTTCTTAGAGCTCCTCCTCCCCCTTATAAAAGCATGTTAAACTAAAAGCCAGTCTACTGCACATCCTGAAATGGAAAATCCGAGAGTCTCAGAACAATTACGGTTAATACTTAAGATATTTTTAAGAAACACCCTCGGTAGAGCTGGGCAGGCAGTTTATTTATCACCTAGAGAAGCAGCAATTCTATCAGTTGGTTTTTATTCGCATCTAAGCCTAGGCTGAATGAAATGACTACATCACTTAATGCAAATTGATCGAATCACCAAAGGAGAGGTGGACTAAGCCGGCCCCCCGAGCTTGGTTTCCCCCCAACGTCCAGAACAGGCTGACAAGACCCAGCTCGAGTCACTGCTCCCACCCCCGCAGGAGGCACGTTGTGTCATCCCATCTGCTCCCACAGACCAACCCTTTGGGGCACTGGGGACGCATCTGCGCCGGTACCACATTTGGATGCGGAAGCCACAGAACGGAGGTGAGTCCAAAGCACAGCCCCAAGCCCATGAACACGCCCCTCCTCCCACGGCCGAGATGCAGCCCACGGGGAACCTGGGTGGGGGAGGGGGGTGGGGGCATTACCCGCCTAGAGGAGAGACACAACTCTGGTTTCTCTTCAGGATTTACCTCTCGTATCCCAAACCGATCCCCGCGCCCCACCTGAGCCTCCCTCGGCCCCTCCTCAGCCCAACCTGCAGCCGGTCGCGCGCACCACCACACGCTCAGAAGGTCCCCCTCCCACCCCGCCCCCCGCTCTCCCCTCACCAGCCATCCCAACAGGGGCAAACAGCCCCCTCCGGTCCCCTCACCTGATGCTCGTGCCCGCCCCGTGCGCACCGGGACCATTCCCACGCCGGCTCCGGCTCAGGCTCTGCCTCCAGCTCGAGCGTCGCGCGGCCTCATGAAACGTTCAACTCACGTTTCTTCCCCAGGGCCGCTCCTCCTCCAGGAGGAGAGCGCCTTCCTGCTCGTGTGCCCTGTAAATGCTTCCCCCTCATCCCCGCCACACTCACGAAATCTCGTTCCGGTCCCAGCCCGCCCAGGCGCAGGGGGGGCGGGGCAGACGCATGGAGCGATCACTAGAGTACTTCCGGCGGAGCTGCGCCTGGGGGTGGAGCCGGCGGTGGAAGAGTCCGACGCCCTGTGTGGGCGTCTCGGCTAGAAGAGAGTCACGTCGCCGGAATCCACTGGAAATAACGCTAAAGCCGCCGAGGAGGCGGGTGGCGCGGAGGGTGATTAGAGCCCCTGCGCTGCCCGCGGCGGAGGGATTATGTAGTGCTAGGAAAGAGGCCGCAGCCTAGCCCTCCGCCGTAGGGCCTTGAGTTTTGTTGTTTTTTTTTCCCTGGCGACCTTTGACTTCCTACAGGGACGCGATGGGGCAGATCCCCAGGGGAGGTCGGGCCTACTGTGGACGTACGGCTGACGCATTGGTCCTAGTCCGGGCGCACAGTGAGGCGTGCCACTGAGGAGACCTCGAGGTCCCAGGGACCCTGCCCTTCCCAACCCCCATGCTCCTGGCCGTCCTCCCGTCCCCCCTCCCTGTTTCCCGGCGGGCTTTGCGTCGGCGCCCGGCAAGCCCAGCGCTGCGGGGTCCGGGCTCCGACCCTGGGGAGGAATGGACCGCGAGAGCGGGTCTGCCGCCCCTGAACGGCAGAGCCTACTGGGCTCTGGTCGTGTCCAGACCCTCTCCCACGAAAGGGCACTGGGGCCGGGCTTATCCCGACAGCCCCCTGGCCTTTCGGAAGCCGCATTTCCCATCACGAGGGGCGGCCGCATTCTTTAGTCCTCCGTGCAGGCCCGGCCTCGTGCCTTCCGTGGGAGAACAAGTTGGGGCTTCTGCCTATTTGTGTCCTTGTGGTGTGATTTTAACAGAGCCTAGAAACCAACTCAATCGTCGTTTGGGGCTTGGTTTGTTTTCTGTTTTTTCAAAAATCATTTTTTGTTAGCTCTCCTTGAACTGAAAGGTCAGATGACTTCTAGTAGAGTATTTATCATTTTGACAGGGGTTCTTGGCCATTTTTGTGTCGTGGACCCCTTTGTCAGTCTGGTGAAGTCTGTAGGCCCTTTTTCAGAATAGTATTTTTAAATGCATAAAAATACATAGGATTACAAAGGTAACCAGTTGTTTTGATTCTTCATCCTTCTCCAGTAGAGGGTCTTCCCTCGTATATATTTCCCATTTATTATGTTTATATAGCGTGTTCATACATAATTGGCTTGGGCATGTTTTCTCCACCATTAGACTAAGTTACTTTCAGGGCAAGGGATATCCCCAGGACTTTTCACAGTACCCTTATACATAGTACACTCTTAGGAAATATCTGTTGACTGAGTACAATAAATCAAACTTTCAAAAGCAAGTGAACTAAGAGTTTCTGATTTAGAGGGAAAAGGTTGCCACCTACTTTGTCAATTCTGTTAAAAAAAAAGGGGGGACTTGTTTTGGTTAAGCTATTATTTTGTTAAAATTTTTTATAACTTTTTATGTTAAACTATTCTTTTTTATTAAAAAATATCCCTAATATTGATGAACAGAAACCATCAGGAAATTGATTCTCCTCTTACCCACCAAAAAGTAAAAGTGGTTAGGTTTTGTTTACCCGCTTTAGAAATATATATTCATTAATTCACCTATTCATTTCCAATTAAGAACTCCAGGTAAGAGAATATTGTTTAGGTTGTATTAGCATTATTCCAAGAGATCTGTGATTTCATGATTCTGTCACGTTTTATTTTAATTCAGTTTTATTTTCAACTCCGAATTCTCTCCCCCACCCATTGAGAAAGCAAAGAAAACAAACATTATGAATATGTATAATTAAGCAAAACAAATTTCCACATCAGCATTGTCATACACATATATGTATATATATATATATATATATATATATACATAAATACATGCACGCACACATTTGTATATGTGTACATATACAAATGTGTGTATATGTATACTTCAGTTTGCACTCTGAGTCCATCATCTTTCCATTTGAAGGTGCATAGTATGTTTCATCCTGTACTGAAGTTGGTCATTATGTTATTCATTTTCTAAGCCTTTCAAAATTGTTTCTTTACAACATTGTTGTATAAATTGTTATTGTAGAAATTGTTCTCCTGGTTCTACTGAGTTCACTGTGCATCAGTTCATACAAATAAGTCTCCCCAGGTTTTCTGAAACCATCCCCTTCATCATTTCTTACAGCACAGCAGTATTCTATCACATACATATGTCCTATCTTGTTGATGGTCACCCTCTCAGTTCCTAATTCTTTGCCACCTTGAAAAGAACTACTATAAATATTTTTGTACGTGTAGGTCCTTTTCCTCCTTCTTTGATCTCTGGGATATAGATCTATAAGTTATTCTTTTTACTAAAAATTTTCTTAATGAACAAGAAAACATTAAGGAGTTATTTCCCCCAGCCCCCAAAGTAAAAGTGGTTTTTGTTTATGAACATTAGTGTACATTTGTTCACTAATTTACTGACGTATTTTCAATTAAAAATCAATGTAAGTTCTCCAGGCAGGAGAAAATTGGTTGGGCCGTATTGAATTATCATTACTCCATTGGACGTGGGATTTCATGGCATACATTTTCCTTCCAAAGATACAGATTACAATCCATACATGCCTGCCCACCTTGTGTTACATACCTCCATATCCATGTCCTCCTGTGAAGGAAAGGGATGCCTATCTAAAATGCTGGGAGCCTACCTAGTTCTCTATTCACACTGAGTTTTTATCAGAACTTTTTCCCATTTAAATAAATACCCACCTCTAAATATTTATTTAGAAGATCCTTATTCATTACTGATATTGGTATCCTTAAACTGGAACACAGTATATTTATCATGATAAACATTCACTGAGTGCCAACTTAATAAACTTAACAAAATAGAACTAAATCTGCCCTCGGTTTACTAGTTAAGTTACATTATAGTTCTTCAAAACTAGAAAAAACTGCAAACTGAATTGCAGCAAAATATCCAACTTTTTGTGGTCCTTGAAGTATTGGGATTTAGAGTTAGAAAACTGTTTGGAACTCAAAATCTTGTGGAAATGAATGTAGAGTTAGAAAACTGGGTTCTAATCCCAGCTTTGCTATTTGTTACCTGTGTGGCCTTGGCAAATCATTTAACTGCTCATAGACTCAGTGAGAGATCTCTTCCAGCTCTAAAGCTTGTCTCCTTTGATTCTATTTCATTGGCATAGTCAGTTCCTGTTGGTAAAATCCTTTCGTTGATATAGATTAAGATGAACCAAAGGGAAATAAGTTACTAGGAATACTGAGAAGTTAAGTAACTTGCCCATAGTAAAACAGCATATTGCAAGTAAGACTTGAACTCAGGTCTTCATTCAAAAGCCAACACTTTATCCAGCATTTGTACCTGCGAGTAATTTACAGCTTTTGCTTTTTCCTTCACAGTTAGCTTATAGCAAATTTGTTCTGTTATCACTAATTTATAAATAAAAACATGGAAGTATAAAGATATGACAAGCTTGATACATGTAGGAAGGCAAGAGGGGAGGGAACAAGGGCAAATACAAATGCTTCAAACCCCGTTATGGTAGGTTCCATTTTTCTTCCTTTATCGGGAGCTGGAGGTGTTAAGTTGACAGACTCCTTTCCAATCAATAACATTTTATATTAGCATTGGTATATTTTAACCACACTTCCATTGTAAAATTGCAGGAGTCCTTACCCCTACGTCTTCATATTCCTGCAAGACTCTGTTCAAAGGTCACCTTCTGCAAAAATCCTTCCATTCTGAGATTAACTTTCTTATACTGTGTGCACGGGCGCATTATCTCTTCCATTGGTATGCAAGCTTCTTTTTGGGTTTTTGCCTTAATGTCACCAGTGCTTAGCTCAACTCCCGGCACATAGTATTAGACTTAATAAAAGTCTGTTGATTGTAGCTCATTTGCAATCATCCATTCATAATATTGTGTGGAAATAAAGGTACAATGGATTGAGCACCAAGCAGGAGTCAGGAAGGCCTGAGTTCAAATCCCAGATGCTTAACTAGCTGTATGACACTCATTGGGCAAGTAACTTAACCCTGTTTGCCTTAGTTTCCTCATCAGTAAAATGAGCTGGAGAAGGAAATGACAAACCATTCCAATATCTTTGCCAAGGAAACCCCAAATGGGGTCATGAAGAGGCAGATACAACTGAAAAGTGACTGAACGACAACAACGAAAGGAAATAAGAGGCAGCATGAGGGTTAGTGGTTAGAGTTCTGTCATGGGAGTCGGGAAGAACTGGGTTCATGTCCTGCCTCTGACATATACTGGCCATATAACCCTGGACAAGTTATTTAATTTCTTGGTACCCCGAGATAATTTCTGAGTATAAATTGAAGAGCAGGTGTTGACCTGCTGTTAGGACGGTCCTCTTTCTGGATTTCCCTATAACAAAATCCCAGGTTTCTTCCCCACCACTCCCAAGGAACTGACAACCCTACAGCATTTTCTCTTAACATCATATTTTCTTGAAGCCATTTAACAGCTTAGGCTAGGCTAGGTATGCCTGTACTGGAGAGAGAAAAAGGTAGAAATTGTCTGCAAATTGACATTTCCATTCACATTCTTAGGATGTCTTCTCTAAGATCATTGATGGCATGGATGATGAACTAGATCTATTTTGAAGGACATAGCA